TATTTGACAGAGAGAGACACAGTGAGAGAGGGAACACAAGCAGGGGGAGTGGGAGAGGGAGAAGCAGGCTTCCCGCTGAGCAGGGAGCCTGATGCGGGGGCTCGATCCCAGGACCCTGGGACCATGACCCGAGCCGAAGGCAGACGCCCAACGACTGAGCCACCCAGGTGCCCCAATAAATCTTTTCAAAAAAAGTCATAAGGACAAGTAGGTAGTAATATTCCATAACTTAGCTTGTTCAAGCCTGATACTGGTCTATCCTCAGTACACCTTGCAAAAATCCACCCATTTCATTACTGCCATGCAAAAGGTTATCTTGAGCAGAGATTTAAATGAAAGAGCAGAGGGGCGCCTGGGTGGCTCAGTCGTTAAGTGTCTGCCTTTGGTTCAGGTCATGATCCCAGTGTCCTGGGATCGAGCCCCACATCAGGCTCCCTGCTCAGCAGGAAGTCCGCTTCTCCCTCTCCCACTCCCCCTGCTTGTGTGCCTACTCTCCCTGTCCCTCTGTCAAATAAATAAAATCTTTAAAAAAAACAATAAATAAATGAAAGCACAGAGACAGAGCTTTCAGTCTTCATGTTTCACCACTTGCTCACAAGTTTTAAGCTAGCTTTCTGGTATTTCTGTATTTGCAAAAAGCATATAGGTCTCCTATGAGCACAGAGGTAGTTTGCTGTTAAACATTTCCAAATGAGAATGAAGCATCATCATCCCCTCGTGCTAATTCTCATACACAGCACAGCCTTTCTTCTTTGTGAATGGCACCTGCCTCTTCCTCAGTGTGAAAGGTCCCAGGATTTATAACTGCTTTTATTTGGGGTATGGAAGTTTTACAGTTCATATGTATACACGTGTGCTTAATGAGAATTGTGTATGATTTACTAAAGATGTGTTCCTGTGTGTTTATTCATTATTTTCTCCTTTTTCCATTTTTCAGTACATGTACTAGCCTTAGCAAGTTCTGTTCCAAACTCAGGCACCTTGACTTGGCTTCCTGTACATCAATAACAAACATGTCTCTTAAAGCTCTGAGGTAAATGTCTTATAACAAGAGTATCCAATAATCAGAACAAATACTGATTTTTTTTTTATTTCAAATGACTGAAATAAAGTTGGAATTGAAGGAAACTGTGTTTTATGGATATGTACTAAAGTTCAGAATAGATCTTTTGTTTTATCACTTACCCAAATTACAGAACACATTCAGGTGAAATGACTAGAGGTAATTAGGATTTCTGAATAGACTGGTATAGCGTATACACGAATGATTAGATTTCTATGAAGGCTTGGTTGCCCCCACTCCCCAGAACGCCACATATCATTATAGCTTAGTGATCAGAACAGCACTCTGGAATCAGGTGATTAACCAGGTACCTTGAACAAATATAACCCTTGTGAGCTTTTCCTTATCATCTCATAGTCCTGTTGTTAGAGTTAAACAGTATTATTGTTTGATAATATTAGGCCAAACCATACAAAGTTGCCAGTATTTGACAACTTTTGGCTTCATGTGGTTCAACCTAACATATATAAAGTGCTTAGGAGAGTTTCTGGCATATAGTAAGCACTCAGTAAGTTTCGTTTTAACATTAATGTATTTTTTTAAAGTACGTTACAGAAGGTGTACCTTAAATGGAGGGTGAAATGCCCATTCTCTTTGTATCTTTACTTTTTTATCAGTCTTTTACAGGTAATTATGGTCCCATGTATTGGTTATGCTCATAAATAATAAAAATTAAGCTATTAAAAGAAGAAATATAGATTTAGTTGAGTATAAGTAATCTAGAAAGGGCTTCTAGACCTTCCTTATGAATACTGAGTACATATGTTTCTAAGGCCATTTGCCATGTGGGATAATAAATAGGATAATACAACAGCATTTATGGTTTATAAAATATTTTCACATAAATGATTTCATTTATTTGAAAACCATGTGAGGCAGATAGGACAGACACTTACAGATAAGAAAATCTAAAACACTTTTGAATGCCAGGTACTGTGATTGAACCTCACTGAATAAGGTATTGTTGCTGCCCTTTAGCTGCTCAGAGTGTAGTGGGAGAAAAAAATAATAATAAACATGTTGTCATACTACAGTGTTATAAGAAGTGAGTGCTTCCATTTGGGAAGAACATAGGCTATGGCTGATCTTAGATTGAGAGAAGTTCAGGCAGGTTTCCTAAAGTGACTTGTCTGAAGTCACACTATTAATGTTGAAGAATGGACTTGAACCAGGATCCCCTGCCTTCATTTTATAAAACAATTAAAGCAATATTTTCCAAAGAATGTCATAGAGCTTGGGATTCCTGCATAGTTCAAATGTGAAATCAAAGATGATACTGATATTTGATAGAAGGCAGAGATCAAACACAGTATAGCCTAAATTTAGCCTATGGAGACCGTACTCTAGAGACTTCACAGATAAGGAAAATTTATAGATCCTTTGTAACTTTTTAAATAAGAATTTAAACGTCTTCATTATTACTTTGATAAGTAATAGAATTACTTGATAAAGAATCTGAATCTAAACTCTTCACAAATTACTCTGTTAACTTGAACAGGTCACTTAGTTCCCATTTCCTTTCCCGAGACCATTTAAACATGTGATAAGTGCATAAAGAATATATTTGAAAAGGATAAACCTCCATAACAGTCTAATACATATGAAAAACAATATTGTGCTTTGTGTCGAACCATGAGAGATTATGGACTCTGAGAAACAAACTGAGGGTTCTAGAGGGGAGGGGGGTGGGGGGATGGGTTAGCCTGGTGATGGGTATTAAAGAGGGCACATTCTGAATGGAGCACTGGGTGTTATACGCAAACAATGAATCATGGAACACTGCATCAAAAACTAATGATGTGATGTATGGTGATTAACATAACATAATAAAAAAAAAATTTTTGTGCTTTGTGCTTGTTAGTTTAGCTGGATTTGAGATAGCCCTCCTAGTGATACAGTCCCACCTGAACTCAACCAACATTGATAAATATGCATTGTTGTTGTGAGATTGCCTGTATTCTAAATCTGTGTTAAGTAAATGAGTATATCCTTGTGGGAAAGCATGGGGCTGTAGCCATTTCCTGACTAAATAGCCAGTAAAGTGAGACTTTGGTGCCTTTGGAAATGGATTTAGTCATATATTTGTTTCATTTTGTTTTGTCCTAAGTGAGGGATGTCCACTGTTGGAGCAATTAAACATTTCCTGGTGTGACCAAGTAACCAAGGATGGCATCCAAGCACTAGTGAGAGGCTGTGGGGGTCTCAAGGCCTTATTCTTAAAAGGCTGCACACAGGTAATACTCCATGTAGTGCTTGTGAATTTTAGAAGAACCGTGAACTTTGAAGGCAGCCCAAAGATGTTGGCTGGAGGAATATGTAGTTGTATATTAATAACCAAAGATACATGCTTACCAAAAATTAAAGTGTCTTCCTTAGAGTAAAAAAAAATATGAAAAGAATTAACATCTGACCAAAGATAAAATTTTTGAGGGGAGGCAAGATGGGGAGACAAAATCACACTGAACATGCACCATAGGCAGGAAGCATCTTACGCAATTTAATCTGAGAAGAAAAGTTGCCATGTTGTCACTGCCTGAGACCTTGAACTGGAGACACAAGGAAAGCAGTCTTAGCAATTTTCACTAGTTGTTTAACTACCAGGTTAAATGTGCCAAGTATACAGAACCTGCATTTTATAGTGTTGGTGTTTACTTCCTGCCAGTCACATTACAAATCCCAATATGTTTGGTCATTAAAGATTTTACTATCTTCGTATTTTACTGTTATTTAAAAAAGGAATTGACATGGCAGCATCTCGAAGGAAATAATCAAAAGTGAGTTTAGAAGTGACTGACAAAGTAGGGCTAAGCTCTTGTGACATTATTTTATTAATGGTTACTGGAACCATGCCTTGGATTTTGTTAAAAGTGCTCTTATTCCATTATTACTGTGTTATGATTGTTTAAAAAAAAAAAATTCCTGTAAGGTACACACTACATACTAAGATCGGCTATCATTCCTGTTAAAAGTTTTTTTTACCAAGCTTAAGATGAAGCTTTGTGTTTGAAAGTTAGAAGATGGTGGTTGTACATTATTTCATTTAGAAAATATAAAAATTCATTTTGTTTTGAAGCTAGGTGTTAAACTGGAATAGCTCTTATACCCCAGAGAATGGGGCAGTTGTGCCCTTCCCTTGACATTCCTTTGTTGTTTAATTCTTTAGAATCTTAATAATTGTTTTTTTTAATCCCGAGAGATTAAATAGTAGACATGTTAAGAAAACAAAAATGAAACTGTAACCAAAATTTTAAAATAAAGTTTAAAAAATAAAAAAGTACCCTTATTCCTTCACCGTGATGGGAGGAGTTCCATTGTTTGAAACAGAGCTTTGAAAGTAAGACTGCCTTAAAACAACAGCTTGAGCTTCTGGTTATTTATGGAATCCTGAAAAATATTGATTGGAATGCACCATTATAATCAATTACTTGCCATCTGTTCTCAGCACTGTACGTATGGCACTGATCTTCCAGCAGCATATAAACCGGATTCCTTTCTCAGCTTCTGCTCCCCAAAGTTTGTTTTTAAAAAAACTTTTTATATAGGAAGTATAGAAGTGTGAAAATTATTTTAGCTTCATAATCCCTGAGCAAAATGCTGTGAGGCATACTTAATTTTTATCAGAAGAAACATCCATAAACATTAGGCAGTGTTTATTTTATCTTTTCCTTGATTTGATGGTCATGTGAATTTGATGTGGTTGAAACTGATGAAAAATACTGATAACCATACTAATGACATGAATTACACCTTTATGTGACTAAGGGTCATTGTTTCTGGTTCACTGTTCTTTGAAACCTGGTTGGCTGTATTTAGAATATATTGATGAAAGTGTATACTCCTAAATCTTTGTCCCTTGAAACAATGTTAGTAATCATTTTTTTCTGTCTTTTTAATTTTTCTAGCTAGAAGATGAAGCTCTCAAGTACATAGGTGCACACTGTCCTGAACTGGTGACTTTGAACTTGCAGACTTGCTTAGTAAGCAGTCCTTCCCACAACTCTTTTGTATTTGTAATTCATTGCAGTAATATTGTACAAGCTTCAGTCATCAAGACCAGTGGTTTTTTCCACTTCAGCCCTGGGGACACAGGAAACGCACAGATGATTCTTTGCATGCTTAATGATACTCCTAAGGTCTTTGACATAAGTCATATAGAAGATAGCTCATGCAGAATTCCAAATAAGCTAACTGTAACTCCACCCCTTTTCTTTTCTGCTTTTTAGAAGTGAATTATTCAGACTTTAGTACTTAGAATATTTTTGGTTAATTAATTGCAGTCATGCCAGTGAAGATCTATCAGTGAGGGGGCGCCTGGGTGGCTCAGTCGTTAAGCGTCTGTCTTCGGCTCAGGTCATGA